CAAGAGGTAAAGTAGACACTACCTTGTTTATTAAAAGATCATCAGAAGGTAATCTCATTATTCAGATTTATGTTGATGATATTATATTTGGTAGTGTTAACCCTTTTATGTGCAAGGAATTTTCAAATCTTATGCAAAGTGAATTCGAAATGAGCATGATGGGAGAGCTAACATTCTTTCTTGGACATCAAATTCAACAATCTGAAGAACGAACCTTTATATGTCAGACCAAATACACAAAGGAGTTGATTCAAAAATTTGGCATGAGCAATGCAAAATCCATTGGCACACCAATGAGTCCTTCAACGAGTCTAGACAAAGATGAACAGGGAATCCATGTTGATGAAACTAAATATCGTGGAATGATTGGCTCATTATTGTATCTGACTGCAAGTCGATCGGATATTATTTTCAGTGTGTGTAAATGTGCCAGGTTTCAGTCAGTTCCTAAGGAATCTCATCTGACTACAGTGAAGAGAATCATTCGATATCTCATTGGGACTGTCTCTCATGGACTATGGTATCCTCGCTCTAACTTTTTTAAATTAGAAGGTTTTTCTGATGCTGACCTTGCAGGTGATAAAGAAGATAGAAAAAGCACAAGTGGTACATGTCAATTACTTGGAAAGGCATTGATATCCTGGAACAGTAAAAAAACAAGCATGAGTTGCATTATCTACCACTGAAGCTGAATACATTGCTATTGGACAATGTTGTGCACAATTACTGTGGATGTCCCATCAATTGGGTGACTATGCACTTTCTTAGTATACTGCCTTGTGACCAAACTCAAAGTCAAGTTATCCTCCTGGATCACTAATTTCATGATTGAAAGTGCAGAAGGTCCCACCAGTCTACCCTATGACATGGCCATCACTCACATCCTGGAAGCTTATCAAACTTCCCTGTCCGACTATCCCTTTATCATTGTTTCAAAATCTTACAATTCTAGAGCCTTTGCAAGTATGGGATATGTGAGTGTGAAGGGCTCCTGGGTTAAGAAGCACAAAGGTGATGTAAAGCATGCTCCTATAGATCCCAGACCTAAATCCTCTGCCTCTCATCCCAGCCCTGGTGATCCTGATCTTGGTGAGAAGCTTCGTGCCATTGCATTCAACTCTCTGAAATCAAAAATCTCTTCACAGCCACTCAGCCAACTGTTGGTGACATTCATGCCATCTCCAAGGAAATAGGGTCTGATGTGTCAAAGATAAGAGTTGTTGTTCTCAGAGTTAGGGAGAATGTTGTCAAAGCTTTCGGGGAGATTCATGACAGGTTGGATGGAGTGAGCATCTCAGCCAATGCTAGCTTTGAACAATTAAAGGAGGCCATCTGCAACACTCTTACCTATTTTCTGCGTCGTTAATGTGGTGGTTTGAGACAATTTTTTGTTGTGCTGTTTTTGGGCTGTTATCTCAACCATTGGACAATTTCTGTTTTGTTTTAGTTGTTTCTGTTTGGACTATAACTCTACTATTTAATGCTATATATTCTGTTTAGTTCTTGGTTTGTTCTCTCTTTGTTGATGCCAAAAAGGGGGAGAAAAGTATATATATCTGTATATAGGTATAGTTGACTGTGGCAAAAGTAGCATCTTTCATGGTAGGAGTCGACTCCAACCATGGACTAGTCAACTGCATGAACTGAGGGGGAGTACCATGAACCTGTCAACCGCATACATTGAGGGGGAGTAAAACACAGGGAAGTCAATTGTTGTTTATACATATATATTATTTTGTCATCATCAAAAAGAGGGAGATTGTTAGATCTAATTTTAATGATGCAAATAATATATCTTTGCAGGAAATCAATTAGAGAAGATCAAGGAAACAAGGAGGTACTACGAGATTGAAGAAGTCAATCTGGAAGCTTAAGGAAAGAAATCAATCAGCAAAGATTACGAAATCAATGGACAGATGCGATGGAAAGAATCAAGCAAGCCTAAACTTAAGGCAATCATCAAGCCCAGCACATTCAATCCGGAAGATTGAAGCAGTCAAAAAAGTATCGAAGATTCTGTAAGAAGATTAATTGAGCTGCTATTTTCGGAAGGACCAACAATCAAGGAGTAAACCCTCATCATCAATAACTGTAGAAGGAAAGCTGTCAGTTTCCTCTCATCAAGGAAGAGCAACGGCAAGTAACCTTATTCTTGCAAAGAATCAACCTCTTTCCAAGGATCAAATCTCTTGGGTTGTCAAGTCTCTTCAGCAAACGACCTTCACCAAAGTATTTATACTGCAGCGGCGAGGCGGACATTTATTTTGCAGAAAGGTTGGCTGCCTTGCAGGGTCGCTTGCCTAGTTCACCGGTACTAGGCTATGAAAGCCTCAACATCGGGTCCAATGTAAAGCAAGCCTTGCGAATGATGGTGGCTCCATACGGGTAGACGTAGGCCCTGAAACCATTTCTGCTTTACGAATATGATTTTTTTTGGGCATTTCTAATAATATCTATCCTTGCTCCTCTTTTGGCATTTTTAATTTCCGGAGTGTTAGCCCCGATTAGCAAAGGGTCGGAGCTTAGCATCAAGCCTTAGACAAATATACTTTGATCGAACCAAAAATTCTCTCTTTGTTCTACTACAAACAAATATTGTAGTTCTCTAAGATCTGTTGTGTAACAAGTTAGAGAAAAAACAGAGAACAACATTGGTGAGGCATTGTATCAAAAGAGACGAGTGTTATAGGAACTGAGCTATCACGTCATTTCCATTGTACTCGAAGAAACGCATTTACTAAAGAGAACTCCCTTGCAACCCAAGGGGACTGGACTAGGATTCACATTGAATCCGAACCAGTGTAAAATTCCGGTGTCTTTAATTCCTGCACTTACTTTCTGTATCTTATATTCTGCTATTACAACTGTTAGTTTATTGTATCTAGTCGACTAATTGAAAAACCAGTCAACTAATAGAGATTAAGATTAAAAATATGCAATTCACCCCCCTCTTGTACTTTCACTTAACATTGTCAGATAGGCCTATATTATGTCATCGTTTAACATCTGAATGTTTATCGCTTCTCCTGTCCAGTCAGGATTATGGCTAATTCTGTCGAGAATCTAACATGTCATTATCAATTTGAATAGCTAGTGTTGGTAATATGCTCCAACCATCATTTGGGAAACTTGAACTGAAGGATCCATACTATCGGATACTGCAATCAGTGGTTAAACTTCCCTCTTTTTCTCCCCATGTCTAAGTTTGCAGGTGTGTAAAGCTGTATATATATTTCTCGTGAATTTGAAGCTACCATTTAGTACTCGAGGGTAGGGATATTCTTATATTCTTTAGAACACAGCTTTACAGTATGGTGAATTCCGATATTACTACAAACACCACCATATGGTGTGAGTCGAACCAGATCACAAACTAGTTAGGCTTGGGTTATGCTTGACTGATTATCGGATGAAATTCAAAAATAGCTAGATTTACAAGTGGTAATAGAAAAACAGCCACAGTTTCAAAAGTAATCGAAATTTAGCCATTTTTCATGTAGAGATAAATTTGAACGAAAACACTGTTCAAAATCCGGAAAATATTCCAGCATAATATACTGGAGTTTAAATATTTTACATGGGAACTTCCAGCATGGTATACTGGAGTTCCAGAATAATATACTAGTCCAGCATAATATGCCGGAATAGGGGTGTGCATTCAAATCGGTTTATCGATAAATCGAATCGATTATTTGTTATCGGTTATCGATATCGGTTTATCGATTTATCGATTTCGATTTCGAATTCGAAATTTTCCTTATCGAGTTATCGATTTCGATTTCGATTTTGTCCTCTTCGGTTATCGGTTTATCGATAAACCGATAAGAAATACTAAAAAATTTAATTATTTTTTTTAATTTTTTTTATTTTATTTTTTTGTCCCTTATTCTATAATACCCTTTCCTTTACCCTAAGTCCCTAACCCTATTATTTCATCTATCACATTTAAGGAATGATCATATTTAAAGCTCAAGGGAATAAAGTTCAAATTAATGGAAAATAGAATTAGCCGTGATGATGTATTTTTATTTTTTTTTATACCGTTGGAGTGTTGGTGGCATACATTTGATCCCTTACTTTAGTTTCGTTGCATGTGCTAGTTGACACAATTTTTATGTTATAAACGGTGTTCGTCTTATTTTAGCTTCTTTTGGTCCATATTAGTTAGGCGTGTTTATAGCGATATACTTTCCGTGGAATCCCGCAAATTTTCTTATTGGTGTAATCGATAACCGAATCGATAAGCCCCAAAAATCGATAAATCGAAATCGAAAAAATCGAAACCTTATTGAAACGATAACGATAAGCATATGTACAAATCGATAATCGATAAGTAATTATCGATAAGGGTCAAAATCGAATCGATAAATCGAACGCACACCCCTATGCCGGAAGTTCATAGACAAGTGCTCTAATCTCCAGTATATTATGCTGAAACTTTCCGTGTGCTTGAGTTCTAACATAATATGTTGGAAGTTCATATACAGTGCACCGATCTCTAGTATATTATGCTGGAACTTTCCGTATTGCAGCAAAATAGTGGTTATTTTTCAATGATTTTGCAAATGCTGGCTATTTTACTGGCTAGCCGGTGCTATTTTCACCTGATTATTTCACAATGGAAACTGAATATAACAGCTTTTAGCAATTCGTAAATACCCCACTATCCTTACTTTTACGCAGATACAGAGCAAACATAGAGTATTCTACGCTGGCATGCAGGCCAATTTCCTTTGACATTTTTTCCTTTTGGCCTGTTATTGATCATCTGGCCAAGAGCTCAAATTACCTTTCCATCGAAAAATACAATCTCGAGATGAAGATGGTTCAGTCTTGACGCAAGAACCCTCTCCTAATTCTGGTGCAGATCCATACAATCACTCTTATAGTGATATCAGATTTTAGGGATGTGCAGACTTTTGTTGCAAGAGCAATTCAAGAATATACACCGGAAAATAGTAATCGAAGTCAAAGATATCAATGTTAGAGTAGCACTGCAAGTGATCGAAGAACGTCACCACCTTTTATACAAGGACAAACCATGGGAGAAATTTAAACTGTCAATGACAATATAACTCTTACAACAACTAGAAACTGCTATAATAGTGACTACTGTCAATGGGCCAAAGAAAAGCAAAAAAGGAGATCTATTAAAAATAATATTTGAAGTCAGCAGTCCACTGTAAGACAGGATATTCCTTGTATCATTATTTCTCTTTCGGCCTTGGTTGAGCTAAATTTCTCTGCAGAATGAAGAGTATATAAGTTAGTAACCTGTTTAAAATCGAAAAAGAAAAAAAGCGACTAGAAGTGATAATCACCCTTGCTTTTCATCCCTTTAGTGCTTTAAGTAACGATGTGGTTAGTTAATTGACAATTTGGCACTACCATGACTTTTGAGGGACAAATATCCCAAGAACTGCGAGTTTTTAGTAGTACAGGACAACGTCTAATGATTGCTTCAGTGAAGAGGCTGTGATGATTTACCTGATGATTTACCCCACACATTCGATCTGTTGTTGTTGGACTTTGTACTTCAATTTTGTTATGAGGGTTGGTGCTTGAGCTTGCACTTTCAGCTGGATCTTCAAGTCTGCGCCTTTTCGCGTTTAGCTTGTTGGGCACCATGGTTAATTCTGGTGAAAAGATTGTAACAAAAATCAGAGAAGAAAGGATAAATTCCAACTACTAATTATATATAAGACCTAAATCTGCCCTACAAGTTTATGGGACAAAGAGGAAAAGAAACCACTGGGAAAAGAAGACAAGTAAACAATATGTATTGCACAAAATATAGGATTATAAGACACTTATATAGTATGAAAGTAAGTGCAAATCCCACAAGAAATAGGGAAGTAAGAATCCTTCTTTTGGGAAGTAAGACTCTTGAATCCTAACCAACATGGAATTTGAATACCTTTCCTTTTTAAGGACAATATAGCTAACCTTCTAAATTTCTAAATTATGCTGTGAAACAGAACTTGTGTCAGTATATTTATTGTACTAGTTTGACTCGGCACTTAACATAAAAGTAAAATTGAAATTAGACGTGCAATTTTCCTGACATGTTTTGAGATCCTATAGGAATTAGGAAAAAGTTTTCCCATATTACTTATGAAGTAGTACTAAATTCCCAATTCAATTTATGAGGGTAAATTTATTTTTTTTCTTGAAATAATTTTGCTTTGGTCCGTATCAATGATATTTAGAATATCTCTAAATTCATTGAATTCGAATAAAAAAAAATTAGTATAAAATGTTCAATGGCTGACCATAAAATATGTACTATTTCCTTCTTCTTCTATAGCCTAAACAATTACATTAACTAGGAATTTATTATGGTGATTTTCTTGTTGAACCCAAATCATTATAGCCGGCAAATTGAAAAACTGACAAAAAAACAAGATATATCAAAAATATATTATACAGAGACGCACAAGTAAAAGAAAACTTCAAAAACGCAAGTAACACCAATCGCCAGGTCAAGATCCAAGTAGATTGCAGACCCAGATAATTAAATGATGAGATTTGGTTACACAATAATTTCGACAAAATTCTCAGTTTTCACAAACAGAAAGAAGAAGAAGAAGATTTACGGTACCGTCGGCGAGATTTAACGGCAAAAGAATGGTCTACGGGAACGAGAATCTACAGATTTACGGTCTTTCTGAAAATTGGGGGGCAAATCTTTTCTCTAAAATTTCCTTTATATAATTGTATTTCTTGAACCAACAGAAACGGTCATATAACCAAATGGCGGGCTTTCTGAAAATTGGTTGCAATTGAATTTATTTCGAAAATTTTATTTGTTTTCCCTTTTTATTGTGGATACTACCAATTAAGCTTAATTTTGAATAGGAAACTTTTCGTGACATGGAGTTGGAGTTCTTGATGAAAGTACAAGAGGGGGATGAATTGTAAATATTTAAATTTTAATCGCTTATTAGTCGACTAGTTAATCGAGTCGTCGACTAGATATAATTACTTAACAGTTATAGTGACAGAAAGTAAATTGCAGAAGGTAAATGCAGGAATTAAAGACACCAGGATTTTATACTGGTTCGGATTCAATGTGAATCCTAGTCCAGTCTCCTTGGGTTGCAAGGGAGTTCTCTTTTAGTAAATATGTTTCTCCAAGTACATTTGAAGTGAGTTGACAACACGTTTCTCTAGCACTCGTTTCTTTTGATACAATGCCTCACCAGTGATATACTCTCCTTTTTTTCTATGACTTGTTACACAGCAGATCTTAGTGAACTACAATTTTGTTTGCAGTAGAATAAAGAGAGTGGTTTTTGGTTCGATCAAAGTATATCTAACTAGGGTTTAAGGCTGGGTATAAATACTTTGATGAAGGTCGAGGCTTGACAACCCAAGAGATTTGATCCTTGGAAAGAGATTGATTCTTTCCATGAATAAGATAGCTGGTCGTTGCTTTCCTTTGATTTCCTTCCTTCAGCAGATGCATGTAATGAAGACTTGCTCCTTGATTGTTGGTTCTTCCGTAATTAGTCGCATACCAATCTTTACAGAATCTTCGATCTTCCAGGATGTTGGCCTTGATTCATGCTTTAAGTTTAGGCTTGCTTGATTCTCTCCATCGCAGCTGGCCGTTACTCTTTGCTGATTGATTGGCTGATTAGATTCTTTCCTTAGTTATCCAGATTTGTTGATTGTATTGTAATCTTTGTTGATTGATTTCTTTCCTTAGGCATCAGGATTGACTCCAGCGATCTTGTAGTGTCTGCTTGATTCCTTGTAATTGATTTCCTGCATATGTATATTAGTTGCATCATTAAAACTGGATCTAACAATCTCCCCATTTTTGATGATGACAAAATAATATATAAATGTAAACACCAGTTGACTTCCCTGTGTTTTACTCCCCCTCAATGTATGCAGTTGACTATTCCATGATACTCCCCCTCAATGTATGCAGTTGACTAGTCTGAGATAGAGTCGACTTCTGCCGCAAGCAGTACCTATACAGATAGAACATACACTCCTTCTCCCCCTTTTTGGCATCAACAAAGAGGGAACAAGACAAGAACTAAACAGAATAGATAGCATTGAAGCAGAAAGGTTACAGTAATCATCCAACGGCTGGGAAAACAGCACAGCAAAAAATAAAAATTATCCAAAGGCTGAAAACACAGCTCAAAACCAGCAGAGCAAAAGAAATTGTCTTAAAACATCCACTCTAACGGCGCAGAAAATAAGCAAGGGTGTTGCAGATGGCCTCCTTTAACTGATCAAAGCTTGCATTGGCTGAGATGCTCACTCCATCCAACCTGTCATGAATCTCCTCGAAGGCTTTGACAGCATTCTCCCTAACTCTGAGAACTGCAACTCTAATTTTGGACACATCAGACCATGTTTCCTTGGAGATCGCATGAATGTCACCAACAGTAGACTGAGTGAATGTGAGAAGATTTTTGATTTCAGAGACTTGAGAGTCAATAGCACGAAGCTTTTTGCCAAGGTGAGGACTGTCAAGACTGGGATGAGGGACAGAGGGTGAAGGTTTGGGCTCTACAGGAGCATGCTTTGCTTCACTATCGTGCTTCTTAACCCAGGAGCCTTTTATACTCACATATCCCATACTGGCAAAGGCTCTAGAATTGTAGGACTTAGAGACAGTGATGAAGGGATAGTCGGACAGAGAAATATGATGAGCTTCCAGAATGTGAGTGATTACCATGCCATAGGGTAGACTGGTGGGATCTTCAGCACTCTCGATCATGAAATTGATAACCCAGGAGGAAAGCTTGATTTTGAGTTTGGTCACGAGGCAATAGACGAAGAAGGTGTCTCTTTGAGAGAAGGTTGAAAAGGAACCAGTACAGGGAAGCAAAGTAGTTGCTACAATGTGGGCCAAAACCCGAGTTTCGAAACTAACATCACTGGGACCTAACTGGTTTGGAAGGGAGTCAGAAGGACACTCAGCAATACACTATTTGGCTTGGTCAAAGGAAATTTCAAAGTCATCAGGCCAGGAGTTTTTAAACAGCATAGAAAAACCAGAACAACGACACTGAAAAAGCGAATCAAACAGGGCACAGTCAAGAACAATGTGCTTACCTAACACTAGAGATTCCAGCCTATTTGGTTTACTAGAACGAAGATTTGCATAAAACATTTTTACCAAGGGTTCATATACCTTAGGCGGAGGAAGAGAAGAACATGACCCAACCTTGATGAACGAACAGGTCTTTGACCTTGCAATCGAGGGCTTACATGTCATCAAGGTCGACAACCCTTCCATGAGCAATGGGCTTGTCTTTCAGGGCAATGAAGAAATCCTTATTTGGGGAATCCCAGAAATTGAGGTCAGATTCAAGAGAGACAGAGAAATCAACCTTGGATTTCTTTGGGGTGGACGAAACAGGGGGTTCTTCCATAGGTCGCTTACCTAAAGCTTTTTCTCCTAGGAGTTGGGAGTGTTCAGAGAGATTTCCCTGAGAAGATACGAAACCCTCAGAGTGGTCGGACCCTAGGTCTACTTGTTCTGGGGGCATAGAAGGGGGTTTTGCTTTGGAACGGGTGCTTTTTCTGGTGGAAGCAGAGGGATTTCTGAGATGTTTGGCCATTGTAGAGAAAGGGTTTGATCGGAATTTTTTGGAGAAGAGATAGAGATGAGAGTGATTGAGAAGGGTTTTCTGCCTTAAGAAGAGGGTTTCTGACGGTTGAGTACAGAAAAGGAAAAGTTTTCAGTTGAAGAGACGTGATGCCTGACTTTCCATCTTTGAATGACGAACTGATGTGAAAGAAGAGAAAAGAGAGGGAAAGAATGGAGGCGTAATTAATGCATGGGTAAAGGACAATTATTGCAAAAAAAAAAAATTAACTGTGCACATAGGTCCTAAGAGTTGTTCGTAATGCAAATAATACCAAGTAAATTTCTTAAATCACAAAATCTCTCTTCTAATAAGGGTTTAGTAAAAATATCAGCTTATTGATCGGTGGTTCCAACAAAAGATATTTCTATGTCTCCCTTAAGAACATGATCTCAAATAAAATGATGCTTAATATCTATATGCATTGCTCTAGAATGATGCACAGGATTTTTGGAAAGACAAATAGCACTGGAGTTGTCACAAAAAATTTGTATAGGCTTAAACGAAAGTTCATAGTCACCCAGTTGATGAGACATCCACAGTAGTTGTGCGCAGCTTCAGTAGTAGACAATGCGACTAATGCTTGTTTTTTACTATTCCAGGATATTTTCCCAGTAATTGACATGTACCACTTGTGCTTTTTCTATCATCCTTATGACCTGCAAGGTCAGCATCTGAAAAACCTTCTAATTTAAAAGAGTTAGAGCGAGGGTACCATAATCCATGAGATACAGTCCCAATGAGATATCGAATGATTCTTTTTACGGCAGTCAAATAAGATTCCTTAGGAGCTGACTGAAACCTGGAACATTTACATACGCTGAACATAATATCTGGTCGACTTGCTGTCAGATACAGCAGTGATCCAATCATTCCACGATATTTAGTTTCATCAATAGGAATACCTTGTTCATCTTTGTCTAGATTTGTGGAAGGGCTCATTGGTGTGCAAATTGATTTTGCATTGCTCATACCAAATTTTTGAATCAGCTCTTTTGTGTATTTGGTCTGACATATGAAGGTTCCTTCTTCAGATTGTTGAATTGTAGTCCAAGGAAGAACGTGAGCTCACCCATCATACTCATTTCGAATTCGCTTTGCATAAGATTTGAAAATTCCTTGCACATGAGCGAGTTAGCACTACCAAATATAATATCATCGACATAAATTTGAATAATGAGGTTACCTTCCGATGATCGTTTAATGAACAAGGTAGTATCTATTTTACCTCTTGTAAAGCCATGATCAACAAGAAAGGAACTCAGTCTATCATACCAAGCACGTGGAGCTTGTTTTAGCCCATACAGCGCTTTAGTGAGCTTGTATACATGGTATGGAAATTTTGAATCTACAAAACCTGGAGGTTGTTTCACATATACTTCTTCTTCGATAAATCTATTCAAAAAGGCACTTTTAACATCCATTTGAAACAACCTGAATCCTTTAAATGATGTGTATGCCAAAAGAATTCGTATGGACTCCAAACGAGCTACTGGGGCGAAAGTTTCATCATAGTCGACTCCTTCCTGTTGTGAGTAGCACTGAGCAACTAGTCTGGCTTTATTTCTTATGACCTTTCTATCTTCGTTCAATTTATTTCTAAAGACCCACTTAGTTCCGATTACAGACACATTATCAAGTTTTGGTATCAAATTCCACACTTGATTCTTACTGAACTGATCTAACTCTTCCTGCATAGCTTGCACCCAGCTTGAATCTTTTAGTGCTTCCTCTATCTTTTTTGGCTCAATCTGAGAGATCAGTGCGATATTTGCTTTCTTTTTGAGAGCTCCCCTGGTTTTCATTCCTTCATTTGGATCCCCTATAATGGATTTTTAAGGATATTCAGGCTCGCTTCTCCATTCATTTGGACGAACTACATTTGTAGTTGAATCGATTGGTTGATCTGATACATTGCTGTTGTCTTCACCAGTTGACTCTGTCGCAGCAGATGTATCAGTCGACTCTTGTGATTTGCTTGTCTCCTAAGTTTCTTGAACTTGATCTTCATCACCTGTAGTGATTCCTTTCTCGACCAAGGGGTTATTTTCATCGAATATAACATGTATAGATTCTTCCACACATAATGTGTTTATCATAGACTCTAAAAGATCTACTATTTAATGAGTAACCCAGAAAAATACCTTCGTCA